CGAGATGGTGAATTTGAGAACCAACAATCATTTTGTTCCCTGTTATGAAACAGTTTGACTTTTTGAACTGGATTACTGATAAAAACACATTTTTCGGTCGTTGCGCTCCGTCTCTGAGGCGTTTTCTGCTTCCTGTCACCAACAGGCTTCGTGGCGATCCCACACCCTCACCGCCGCGATCACTCATCCTACCCCAGAACTTTCTGCGACCTCGTCAAACCCGTCATCAGCGCCGCCGCTTCGCCCAAGCTGACCTGCACCGACCTGCCGCCCCGGAACCTCGGGCAGCAGGCGCTGAGCCCGCAGCTCCGCAGGCTGGAGCAGCACCAGAGGCAGCTGCTGGAGCTGCAGCAGCGCCGGGCGCAGCAGAGTCGGCCGCTGGAGGAGGCCGAGCAGGAGAGGAAGAGGAGGGTGGAGGAGGAGCAGAGGGGGAAGAAAGACGAGGCAGAAGAAGAAATAAAGAGGAATAAGGCAGATGAGGAGAGGAGGAGGAGGGAAGAGGATGAAGAGGAGGAGCTGCTGCAGCAGAGGAGAGATCTGGAACTGCAGCTGCAGCAGCAACAACAGGAGCTGCAGCAGAGACAGCAGATCATGCAGTGGCAGCAAGAGCTACAGCAATCCAACAAATCCCAGACTGCACTGCTGTCCCCTTCATCTGGACTCTGCACCATTTATGAAGCCTTGGAGAGCAGCGAAGACGAAGAAACGCCGGAGCAGAACCCGGATGCAGACCCGACCCAACCTGGACCGGATCCACACGAACAGATGTGTCCCAGCTGCGACTCTGACCGACCGTCTCCGGAGCAACCGCCGCCCCTCGACCTGGACTGGGGGAAGAAGGTGGACATCGTCCAGCAGCTGATCAACCAGACGCTGCTGCTGAACGGGGACGGGTGCTCCTCCCTGCTGCTGCTGCCTGGAGGGGCGGGGGGCACCCTGAGCCCCCTGGAGAGCAGCCTCTGGCCCAGCCTGCTGCCCCCGCTCACCCCTCCGTCTGCCACAGTCACCTCCGTCAGCAGCTTCTCCCCCGAGGCCACCGGCAGCTCGCCGCAGGGCGAGTGGACGGTGGTGGAGCTGGAGACGCATCACTGAGGCTGTGTGAATGTTTTTACATATTTATTAAAGCTATTCAGACATCATGATGGTGTAATATGAGACGGATAATCTGTGAAAATAACAACCAATCAGAGCCAGGAGGAGGGTCCTGGTGCTGTCAATCTACCTGATGTGTGTGCTGCTAAATGTATTGAAGGCTAAGAAACAACTTAACATTCCAGGAAAATCATTCATCCACCAGTGTGAGCATTCATGACAGGATTTGTTGTGGTGAAGCAACTGCAGTATAACAGAGAGGAAAGGGGGGAGAATATAAATGGCATGTACACAAGCTTGATTGACAGTACTAAGACCCTGCACCTGGTCCTGACTGGTTTTCTAGTTGGCATTGGGAGAAGGAAAAGCAGTTTATTCTTTTTTTTTCTTTTTTTTTTTTACTTTTTGAATCTCACACCATCAGTGAAAGTTTTAACAAATATGTAAAAACTTTTTTTTAATTTTTTTTTTTATGAAAGTTACATACTGCAGCTTTAAGGGGTAGTTGTGGAGATGCACTGCAAAAACCAAAATCTTACCCAGTATTTGTCTAGTTCAGGCATCTGCAACTTTGGACCTTCAACAGTGGCTCTTAATAAATCTCTTAAATTAATAAAGAACCAACTAATAGATTAAAATATAAATTTAATCACAAATGTTGGTTTAAACAGCTGTTTTCATGTAGTGAATTAATTTCCAACAACTTGACACTAAAAATACCAGTGATTGTTTTAGATGTATTATATTTTTAAGTTGCAAATCATGTTTTGTTTTTCATTTTCTATAAATTTAACAATCCCACAGAAGGAAACGTATCGATTTTCTTTTCTCTCTTTTTATTTTAAAACTAAAAAAATAAAATGAAGTTTATTTTAAATTACAAATATGGATTGGATATTTATATAAAAAAATTTCTTTCTTCTTTTAAAATCATGTAATATTTGTGGCTCTTATTTATCCTAACTAAAGGTAAATTTGGCTCTTAAGGTTGTAAATGTTGCAGATTCCTGATCTAATTTCTGGGGCAAATGCAGTTTGATACTTCTAATAAGACGGATAACAAGTAACTTTTTAGTAATCTAAACTATAGTCAATAATTCTTGAATCTTTATAAAAAGTACTAATTCTGCCGGCAGATTTTTTTTTCATTTATAACAAGACATTTTTCTCACATCGTAGGTTAGATAATCTGCCAGTAGAATTTATTAAATAATCAACAATTACTGGCTGAAAACAAGCTCCTAATTCTTTCTAAAAAGTTACTTGAAAGTTTTATTTGTCTTATTACAAGTTTAATGAGAAATTTGCACTAAAAACCAGACAAAACTGATTCAGATTTTGTTTTTGCAGTGAATGACAAGTGTTTGTTTTCTCACAGTTTGGATTTAAAGGTTTTGATGGTGAAAAATTACAAAAACTGGAGACCAGACTCCACCTGAGAGCAAATCTGACTTTTATTCAGCAAAAAATTACCCAAAAGAGTAAAAAAAAAGTGTAAACATTTTTCTACTTGGCCTTTATTTCTTGTATAAGTTAATTATAGTGACACTTAAAAAAAAAAATCTGTCCCTTTTTTAACCACTTTCTGCCTGTTGAGAGCTTCCGATCCAAACAGGTGTGTAGATGTACAAAGGCACTTAAAGGCATCGTAAAAACCACAACACCTGTCAAACAGCAGCGGCGTTCAGCTGCTGTCAGCTAATCCTGGATTAGGCCCACTGTGGATGGGATTGGGGTTTTCCTCCCCCTAATAAAGGCTCTTGCGCTGCAAAAACACGAAACATTACCAAGTACTCTGCTCTGGTTTTAATGCAAATATCTTAGTAAACTTGGAATAAGACAAAACTAACTCGCAAAAAACATGGGAGTTTGTTTTAAGTCGATAATTCCTTAATATTGATGAAAAAGTACTAGTTCCATTGGCAGATCATTTCACTTGTACCAAGACATTTTCCCATGTTATAAGTGGAACTAGAACTTTTTCCATCAATATTAAATTAATTATCTTGCTGAAATGTTACTTGATAGATTTGTCTTGTTTCACGTGAGAAATTTGCATTAGAAATTAGACCAAAAGTACTTGGTTAAATTATTTAGTTTTTGCAGTGTAGGTGGTGATTCAACTCTTGGAGAAAAAAAAAAAGAGTCAAAACTGTTGGCAGATTTCACGATATAAAAATCTATCAAGTTTGGGTTCATTTTTTTTAATCGAAAGCTTCATATTTGATGTGAACAGACAGCAACTCGGCTCTAGAAGTGATTCCTTCAGCTCCACAAACTGCCTCTGCTCGTAGTGTCCAACTCGTCGGGCTTCATGTTTCCCACAGAAATCTGAGCGCACACGAACGCATCATGGCGCCAGTCGCTCGCCTTCACACTGGATGCCTCGCACGCATCGGGTCGTGAGGTCACAATAGGAAGGTGTTGCTCACCGACACTGGATACGACCGAACCGAGCCGACCGGTTCGGTTCCTCATCAAATGAAAGGCGAGACTGTTTGAATCCTTAGTTTACTGGTCTTCTAGCAGATTGCACTTAAACTCTTGAAGTAATATAAATATATATAAATATTTCAGACCAAATCAGGTGAGTATAAGGGACTTCCTGTTGATCACAGCCGACTGGTGAAGTTTATTTTTTAGATTAAAGAAAACGTTTGATCTCACTCTGCTTATGAGCTTTTTGATGAAACACTGGAGCGCGGCTCTGATAAGGCCTTAATCCTTCCGTTTTCAAATACGTTACTGTTTAAATGCAATTTGAAGTTGATTTTGAAAAGGTTGTATTTTTTATTGTGCTGCTCTGGTTTGAAAAAGAAAACTGGTGGATGAGACGACCTTAGCCTGACCTTTCAGAGCACTGCAAAAACACAACATCTTACCAAAGTGTTTTTGTCTCGTTTCTTGTGAAGGGGTGTCAACAGTGCGGTCCAGGGGCCGTTTGCGGCCCGTTGAGTAGTTAGGAGTGGTCCTGGATGCAGCCTAGAAATATCAGCAAAAGGAGCCGACACAGAGGGAGACTTTTTCTTTTTTATGAGATTTTTGATGATCAATTTACATCTTAAATAGTTTTAGACACAAATCAAGTGTTTTTTCTTTTATTAGCCATGTTGTTTTTATTGTTCATAGTAAGTAGGGCCACAAATCTCCCAATGACGTTTTACTCAAAAATAGATTTAGTTTCATCAAATAATTAAAATAAACTAAATCCAGTCAAGTATTGTCAAAGACTGTTCTCATGTTTGGAATAAACTAAAAAATGACATCTTGACCAACAATTTAGGAAACTGTCCAACTTTGAGTCACTTTTAATGACTTTTCATATGTAGAATATTACATGTTAATCTTTCAGAGCAGGTAAAAAGGAAAAACTTCACAATAAAATTATTTTCTGGTTTTAACTGGGAAAAATATACAAATTGTGGCCCCAAGTATTTTCAACTTGGAGATTTCAGCACATGGTGCAAATTAACATACAAATAACTTTTCAGCAACATAGGAGTTAGTTTTAAGCAAATAATTCCTTAATATTAGTTTTATGAAAGTACTACTTCCACTGGCAGATTATTTCACTTATAAGATATTTTCCCCATGTTATAAGTTAAATAATCTAACAGTAGAGCTGCTACTTTTTCATCAACATTAAGGAATTATTGCCTTACAACAACCTGTATCTTGCTTAAATGTTACTTTTGTTAACTTGTAAGTCAGTTTAGTTTTGTATTAAAAGTACACTAAGATATTTGCACAAGAAAGCAGACAAAAATACTTTGTACTGTCAGAATATTTTGCGTTTTTGCAGTGATTGGATCTCTTCCAGAAACGAAGCACAAACGGCTCGTCGTCGTCGTTTAAAAGCTTGATGCACTCCTCATGTTCAGGAAAGTTTTCCAGATTTGTTTTGTTTTTTTGTTTTTTTTTTACAGCTTTTGCTGTGAAGATGAGCCGAAACTTTCCGAGTCTTCTGATTGTTGTTAAAACTGTGAAAAGCTGCATGGCCTGTGCAGCCGTTTGTCTCTCCATGTTGGACTGTCCTGTTGCGTGTCTGTCAGTCTGTGCTCATGTTAAACCTGGAACTTAGAAATGCACTGATTTGACTTTAACTGGATAAAAACCATTTCCAGCTTTCTTTATTTCTTTTCTTTTTTTTTCCCCCTCTGGGGATAAAATGTCACTAATATGCTGAAGGATCTTTGATAGAAGTAGTTTTGGATCTCACTGAAAAGTTGGGAAATATTGGATTATCTCTAATTTGTTGTTGTGTTTAGGGAGCAAAAAAGGTGGGAGATCTAAATCCAGACCTGTCGATCACAAATCAGACCAGTTCAGGAAAAGTTACCCAGTTTACATTAAATCTGATGCATCTCTAATATCAGACGTGCTGCGGCTCCTTTTCTCCTGTTGGTTCTTGGCAGCAGACACAGAAACGTCAAATTTAGTAGCTTTCAAACATTTTCAGTTTTCTCTGTTTCATATCCGTCTAAGACTGGAGTCTGCAACCTAGAGCGCTTTTAGACTTCAACAGCTCTTAAAAAACCTGGCTTGCATTGATTTCAACAGTTTTTTTTATGTAATAAATTGATTTTCCACAGTAAAATGGCATTAAAATATTGTGATATTGTTTTAGATCTATTATTTCTGTCAATAAGTTTGAAATCATGTTCAGTTTCCAGAAGTTTCTTTTATGCAAATGTTTTCTTTAAGCTCTAAAAACAGAAATAAAACCAGGATCTTTAAAAATGGCAACAAATTTCCTTAAGTAGACGCTTACCAAAAGTTTTAAGTTGTCTTATATTTTTTCTTTTTTTTTAAAAAAGGGGCATTTAACATATGCGGCTCCAATAAGTCTTATTTAGCAGGATTGTAACAGGTCTGGGTTTTAGTGAAAACTTCTCTGCACATTTGAAATAAGACAAAAGTAACTTTTCAACCAGATTCAGCAGCTTGTTTTAAGTCAATAATTATTGAATGTTGATTAAAAAGTTTTAGTAGCACTAAAAGATTATATCAACATCTTGCATAAGGAAATGTATCCACCTTATTTTTTGCAAATGTTTTATTTTAAAATCTGAACACAGAAATAAAAAGGCGAAGTTTTAAATTTTCATTTCTGAAAAACTTTTAGTTTTTTGAAGGTTTTGTTACATTTGCGGCTCTTAATTTTGTAAAGGTTGCAGACTCCTGATCCAAGATGCTCAACCAGGTTTGTGTAGCGTTTGTAGTTGTGCCGTTTAAAGACTGATCACTGTATTGAGCAGAGTCTACTTTACTTTTCTACGTCAGAGTTTTAGAAGTATAGCAGCAGAGTTCTATATAGATTTTACTGAGTAGCTACTAAAATGATTTATAGGTGTTTATTCTTTATACTTAAATTGCCTTCCCTTGTCCATGTAGAAGCGATGAGTTTTTAATATTTCAAGGAAAACAGAAGTGGCCCGAAAAGGACTGCAGTCGTTTCTCAGGATCAGAGTTATTTTCTTCACTCAGATGTTAATTTATTAAAACATCAAATCTGGCCTGTTTGTTATTAAAACCAACCTGTTGAAGTGAAGCAAACGGGACAATTTCCTCCAAAACAATGGCAGCTCGTTTAAATTGTGATATTTTCCGTTTTGTTTTTGAGAAAATTTGTGATTGTAATCATTTCAATGCAATGTTTCATGTAAATAAAATACTTTTTTTTTTTTAATAACATGCCTGGATTTATTTGCACCAAACAGCAACTCTTAAAAACAATCTACAGAGAAAAGTTATACTTTTACAAATCCATAAAGAACAGGATTGGCAGCAAACATGTGCAGTAAAAAACATTCGTAAAAAGAAATTTACATTCTCTAAACATTGGTGCTGCTTTTTAACTTTCCCAGGTTAGAAAAAATTACAAAACAACCTAAATGGATGTCAGCATCGTGCTGAGGGTTCTGATGGCACAACATGGAGGAAAAAATGAAGAGGACGACTTCAACCTTCCTTCTTATCCGCAGCTAAATGATCAACGCTGAGTGTGTCGGCAGAACAAAGATCCCCAAAACATTAAAACTGGTTTGGTAAGGATTTTATCCGACTAATATTAAGCTTCATAAACACTTCAGGCCTCAACATCATAAAAAATTCTGAAACACGACAAAAACACAAAATCTTACCAAGTATTTTTTCGTCTAGTCTCAGTGCCCTTGAGATAAGAGGAAACTAACTCAAAGTAACTTTTCAGCAAGATATTAGCTTTTTTAAGTCACAAATTCATCAATATTGAATATAAGAAAGTACTAGTTCCACTGGCAGGTTATTTTACTCATAAAAATGTTATAAGTGAAATAATCTGGAACTTTTTCATCAATATTAAGGAATTGTTGACTTAAACTCCTATCACTTGCTTAAAAGTTGCTTGTAAGTTAGTTTTGTCTTATTTCAAGTGAACTAAGACATTTTCACTAGAAATACTTTGAGTTTGTGTTTTTGCAGTGAAATTATTAAAACCTGAGCCCTCTCCAGAAAACCAAACAATGAAGCCAGGGCCAATCTGAACAGCTACAAAAACAATATACATCTATATTTTACATATAGATATATTTCCACCAAATGTTGGTTAGTGTTTAAAAATCCTTTAAGATGTATCTTCAATCAAGGGAAAGGAAAATCCTTTCAAATCTTTATTTCCAAGCCCAAAATTGTCATGCTATTCAGATGAAACTTCTGATCAGAACCGAGTATCAGTTTAGCCTGATGGCTTCAAAGCTACATCCTGACACTCCAGGTTTTCTCCAGGCAGCAGCAGCAGCTGCTGCCGTGCATTAACTAACGTGTGTGTGTGCGCTCCTCCTGCAGGCCAGAGCTCAGTCAGCGTGGCACGTCAGCAGCAGCTGCTGCAGATAGTCCGTCGCCGTGCAGCTGGACGGCTCGTTGCGGCCCAGGAACAGCAGCCTGCGATAGCTGGCCTCGGGGACTTCGCACAAGATCCTGGAACGAAACCAGAGCGAGACGTCGCGAAACACAGACGTACTGGGTTCACACGCTTTTCCCTCAGTAAAAATCTAGGATTTTTCAGGCATTTTCAAGGTAAGTTTTCAAGCACGTTGGAGATTAAAACAATAAAAGAATACAAAAAGAAACCGTTTCAATTCCCTACACAGTTTCAATGATGTTGTTTAACATATAAAATATAAGAAACTTTTGTTTTAATCACACATTAATAAGTAATTGAGGTCATTAGAAATGGTAAATATTCATTACTTTGGAACAATCCAAATAAACTGTGTTAGGGCAAAAGTACCTTAAAGCTCCAATCAAATGCTTAAACACAATATACAAAATATAATTTACATCATTTTAACTTAATCAATAAAAGCTTAGCATGATTTAACTTTAGACACTGAGAAAAAATGCACCCAGTTGAACCGTAAATAACATTTTCCAAATTCAAGCTTTTTATCAGACGTTAGATTGCACTTTTTTACAAAAATGTCATGCATTTACAGGGATTTCATATAGAAATCAATCACTTTCCAAACCTTGAAATTCAAGCATTTCCATGATTTCAATGAACCCCGGCTTAATAATTGTGGTTTCTTAAAAAAAATTCTCAAAGTAAGCATGAAGAAAAATTAGTATACTGATGGATTTCAGCTTTACCAGTCGTATATGTCATCTGTAGTCCGTTCTGGCTTCACCTGCACCCACTGACCGATGGACCACATCCTCACCACGTTATCGTTGGAGGCGTCTTCGTTCTCTGAGTCTGGGTCAGCATGTGTGTTGAGGATGTCCTCATAACACAGGAAGTAGCTGAAAGAGGCAGTTTGAAGAGCTCACATAGTAAAGGTCATCTATTATACTTTCTTGAACAGGTTAGGATTGGCTTATGGGCTTAAAAAAAACATGTTCATTACATTTTTGGCACAATCAGCTGTTTTAGAGCCTCTTGTCTCTTTAAATCCAAATAAACAGTTGCTGGCCACGCCCCCTGGGCTGGAGTTCTGCTTGGGTTGCCAAGTAACCGACTGGGCTCTGCTGAGGTTGCTAGGTAACAGCGGAGGGCCAATGGAATGTGACTTAACAATAAGGTGGTATTTGAAAGAGCTCTTTTTTTTTTTTTTTTTTTTTTTTTTTAGAAGCAGTTGAGATCCAAATGGAAGAATAAAAATGAGCAAAATGTGAATTTTGCATAAAAGGTCTCCTTTAAGTGACAAACACACATCAAATAAACTCTCCAGACTCACTAGTCAGTCTGGATCTCTCCTTCTTCTCCTTCTTCTTCTTCTCCTTCTTCTTCTTCCTCGCTGTCCTCTCCTCTCCTATGATCCTCTTGGAATCTCTGCACATTCCAGCGCATGCGTTTGTAGACTCCAGTGTCGACGCGGGACAGATATGGTGTCGGCTTGCAGTAACGGAAGGTGGTCACCTTCATCTGGCCCAGCTGAACCTGGCCAATGCAGAAGTGAGATATGCTGGAAGGGGGGGCAGACAAAGGAGCACGAAGGGTTAAATGGCGTTAGATGGTCACAGACATAGAAAATCAAGCAGATCTCAGCTCTACCTGTTGGGTTCGGACTCGTCCAAACTGATGAGATCATAGCTGGCGTAGGTCAGCAGCAGCTGCTCCAACCTGTCACACAGCTGCTGGGAGAAGCTCAACAGCTGCAAGCAGAAAAAGCGGCGCTGCAACGTCAACGTGTTTCCCTCTGAAACGACTGATTTTAATCCACAGAGCTGCAAGTTTATTAAATTATCATAAATAAATTAATATAATTCATTACAAATAATTATTACAATAATTAATACTGCAATAATTATTACTAATAATAATGTTATTATTAGCAATTATTATTAACTACAATTAATGACCAATTAATTGTAATAAATTATTAATTATAGCCAATAGTTTGATTGTAAATTAAATTAGAATATAGTAATACCTATAATAATTATTATATAATTATACTAATTAATTTTATTTATTATTTATTAATTATTCATTTTATTAAATCAATTTTATTTTTTCTAGCTTAATTGATCAATTTGACTAAATTAAAATTTCTTATTTAAAAAATTATTGTAGACACTTTAATTGGAGGAAATTTATTTAATATTTGCTAATATAGGCAGAGCCGGCCCAACACATGTTTGAGTTAAGTGCCTGCTTAGGATCCACCGGGAATGTTTTTTTTTTTTTGGTTTGTTTTATTTATTTTTTGGTGAAAACATTAGATGATACAAACTAAATGGTATTAAAACAATTTCTATATTATTTTTGTAGTTGGTACACATACAATACATGATGAAGCATCGGGTACTGATCTAGTGATATGGGGGGCCCCAAATGAAAGTCTACTTAGGGTTCCAAAAAGGCTTGTGCCGGCCCTGCACATAGGAGACTAGAAAACAGTTCTTAATTTGGATTTTTAATGGAAAAGACCAACACAAAGTAGTATATAACTTATCTACAAAATAGCTAAAGCTCAATCAGACTGGATGGAAGGTGAACACAGTTCATAGAGAGAAAAAAATAACCAAATAAACTGAAATTATTATGCTGTTCTCAATAGCAACACAATGTAAGATTTGGATTTTCTAGGAAACATTTACTTTTGAACAAAATTCAGCTGGCTTATGGGCGCACAGTGACACTGTGCTCCGACCTGTGGACTCCAGGTGGTTAAAATAAGGCTGACAGGTGTAGAGCAGGCTGGAAACTGCAGCAGCAAGAGCCTCTCTGTCTAGATGGCTATTCCTGCCAGAACAAAAACCCAATGAAGTGAGAAAACTAGACAAATTAAATCAGTTTATCATCGTCATCACTCTAACACTTACCCACTAACGAGGCTGTCCTGCAAGTTGTCCACTCTGCTCAAAAAGAACTGGAGTTGCAGCTGGATTGAATGCAAGTTCCCTGTCACCCCGCTGACCTCTGGGCAGCTGCAGGACACAGACCTGCCAGAAGATGGCGCCAGAGCAACGTCAGCCAACAGCGCCAGCGGCTCGTCCTCTACATGGAAACAGATTATTTATGACATTTATTTACTTTTTGGGAACTATTAATGTTCCAACATCTTTGAGAGAGCACAGTGTAGTTTCTGATGTGATTCTACCTCATTTTATTTGCAAGCTGTTACAAAACAGAAGAGAGCCAAATAAAATATACAAAATAAAAAATACATTCTTATTTATGGCATTAATATTTTGGTTTAAATAAAATTTAAATAGCGTTTTCAGATGTGTGATTCATTGTCTTTAAACTCCTTTTTATCAGCTTTATTGTAATAATAATAATGGATATCAACTGTTCATTGATCTGGACTTATAATAATTCTCATTGTTCATATGACTGGTTCCTTCTGTTCCTCCTCCTCCTTTTTCTCTGTCTTCCAGCAGTCATTTCTCTCTAAGTTTACCCTTGTTACTTGGATCCTTCATTCAAACATAACAACACAAGCCTTTAGCCTTCTGTTGTAGTTGTAACTATTCTCATGTTCATGAGGTAAAAGGTATGACCATGACAACAATAGGTGAAAGGTGCTGTGCTGTACCTTTTACCTTTAGCTGAGTAACTTTATTATAAAGTATAGCTACTCGAGTAAAATTTCTGGATACTATATCCATTGTGAGTAATTTCACTGAATGAAAAACGAGCTTGTTTTAAGCAACAACAAAAAAATCGACAGATATAAACATACTTGCAGTTTTTGTAAAAGTTTTCTATTGGAAAAAAATAATAATCTGAAATGTTTTTTTTTCTTTTGCCTGATTTTGTAATTATGTTACATAAATTATTTTCATTTTGGTCTTTTAAAATACCAACATTTCCACACAACTGTATATTTTGATTCATCTGATGTCATTTTTAAATATTAAATGATTTATGTTTTGATCAGTTAGTACCTGAGTAGCTTTTTCATCAAATACTTCTTTACTCTTACTTCAGTCATTTCTTGGGTGTTTACTTTTTTACTTTTACTTGAGTAAAAATATGCTGAAGTAGTGCTACAGACGAGTACAACTTTTGGGGGCTACTCTACCCAACTCTTCTTATCATTATGCCTTATTATGTTTTTCTGAAGTATGCAGACTGTACAGTTACCAATATTTTTAACAGTTATTATGAACACAGAAACAACTGGACAGTTTTTTTTTAACGTTTTTCACCTTAAATGACAGCTGCATTAACAACAACATGTGGCTCTACAGGTGATGTGAGCAAACCTCGGAGCTCAGGGTTTTGATGTCCCTCCGTGATCTCCGGCGCTTCTCCGCCCCCGTCTTCCCGTAGCAGGTCTTTAAACGCATCCAGGGACGGAGACGAGATGTCCGTCAGAACCACCAGCTCGTCTTCGCTATCCATCATACTGTCTGTCGGGTGTTAGCAAAAAACTCTGTCGAAAATTAAACCTCTGTGACTTCGTGCTAATTAAAGATAGCAAGCTCGTTAGCTAGTTTGCTAACAACAAAAACGAAAAAAAGCACGCAACGCAAACAATGCAATAAATGTATACTAGGCGGATTAATTTGTAAAACTATTTAAGAAATATTTTATACCACTATTACACGTGTAGTAAGTGTCTATTCACAAAGTAAACTGTTGGTTCCAAGATCGTCAAGTGACGTTACGTTCGTTGCTAGCTTCTTCCTCCATTTCGTCGGGTCGAAGGTCAAAGGTGACGGCACTTCAAAGTTTTTAATCATAAATAACGACACTTCATTATTTACTTTAAATTATTAGATATTCACAATTATTTGTCTTAGTTTAATTATCATTCATTAGAATATATTTTAATACGGGCATAGCTAAAAGCTTGGAAGTTACAAATGTCAATTCTTCAATGACGGTTCTAGATCAAAATTTACCGAGAGTCTAGGAGAGGGCCAGAGATATATTTTTGTTTATTTTTTTCATGGAAGTGTAGTACAAAAGAATAAGACTAAACAAAAAGAAATAATAATAATAATAATAAAACAGGGAATTATTTTATAATTTAATATATCAAGTGAGTCAAAGTGCCACTTGAGGCTCCACTGCAGCAGGTTGCTGACTCCTGATCTACCAGATGAAAACTTTGATCCGATCACAATGTGGCTGAAGTTAAAAGTGCAACACCTTAATTTTTAATTCATTATTGGGGGGGGGAGGGGCTGTGTGTGTGTTCATACTAATCAAATGCAACCGCAATCAGACTTTTTTATGAACGGTTTATGACCCCAAAGCAACCCACTCACACAGATAAAGAATGTAGATGTCACACAAAATGGACTGAACTTACATAGTGCTTTTCCAATCATTTTTGACCACTCAAAGCACTTTGCACTAGAGTCACACTCACAAACATTTATATACTGATATGCAATTTGAGGTTAAGTGCCTCATTGACACATGGTAGGAGGAAGCTGGAATTGAACCTACAACCTTCCAATTGCAAGACAACCACTCTACCCTCACAGACGCCCATGTTCACTGTTTACAGAAGTAATAATGGAGGCCCTGCTGCCGTCTATGGATCAATTTCAAAGTTGTTTAGTAATGGGGGTTGTCATAAGATCACGACAAGATAAAGAAAAAAAAAACAAATGTCCAAAGTGTCATCTTCTGATGCAGAAGGCATGTCTCACATCAATGACATAAAAGTTGGATAAAATGCAACATGGTCATTCTGACTGTGGACGCTTTGAGGACAATCAGATACATATCAAATTTTGTACCATGTTTGGAAGTGGCACAAATCACATGTTTTGGAGGGAGGTGCTGGAATACATTGGAACATTGGAATATATTTCTGTGGTATAATAAACATTCACTAAAACACTACAAAGGTTTTGTGAAAAGTTAATATTTATAAATGTATAAATATTTTTTAAATCATTCTGCATAATGAAATCCCGTTAACCCCTATGTTCACTTATTGAAGTATTCTTCCTCTGTGTTTCCATGCTCTTTTCAGAACATCGGTCTTTCCTAGCAGAAGTGGCTTATTTGCTGCCATTTGTATGTCCCAGCAGTTGTAACTGTCACTGAACGCACCTTGCAGTTCTTGGATATGTAAGAAATATTTGCTGCTAAAAAAGATGCTAATTTTTATTAGCATCTTTTTATTTATATATATATGTGTGTGTGTGTGTGTGTGTGTGTGTGTGTGTGTGTGTGTGTGTGTGTGGAAACAGCAGTTGGTTTATTCTCCTCACAGCATCAACACACACTCAATAACAATCAATCCTCACACAGGTGAAACTACAGGCTTAAATAGTCTCAGCTGTGTTGGACCCAACCACCTCCAATTCACAGGGGGATCTCACTTAACAAATCTCCACCTATTTAAATAAAATACACTTTATTAAATATAAACATTTAAATTTACTTTTTATAAATATTTTATATTTTATCTTACACCAAATGAAACACCACAAAAAACCCATAAACAATTATCTCCCCACACTTTTCAATGGCCTCTCCCGGAATCTATAAATGGTGTCTGGACCCCCGGGGTAGTATTTGTCCAAACACCCTGGAGAGGACACAGAAAAGACAGGTGAGTCACTCAATATCAGCACTCCACACCTAACAGATTATGCACAAACATTTGCTCAGTTTTACCCACCAGTAGCTCATTGCTCTGAGTAGCAATAATCCTCCCTCTACAGGCAACCACCTCACTTTCCAATGAGGAGCAGCTGTGCAGAGCCCAGAACAAAAGGCTACATGCTAATTACTAAAATATTCAATAAATACAATTAAAACTTCTCGTGTGCAAATTGTTGTTTATGTGCAAATCTCTGCTTAAAGTGCAGTGCTAAATAAAGTGCTTGTTAATAAAGTGCAAAAAGTGCTATACAGTGACTTAAATACAAATAGACCCAGTAATGAAGCTCTCTTCATTACAATATATATACATATATGTGTGTGTGTGTGTGTGTGTGTGTGTGTGTGAGCACTGTTTTGATGCAAAGTCATGGTGTTTTGCTCAATTTCAGGGAGTGATTGTCATATTTTGGCTGGATTTGTCCATACATGAATTGTTTTGTTTGTATACCGAAAGGCTTGGTTTTGGTCTCATCTGATCAGACAATCTTTTTCCACATGTTTGTTGTGTCTACTACATGTTTTCTGCAAGAACAAAAGAATAACTGGAAACCATTCATCCTGTATGACGTGGTGACCTTAAGTGAGAAGGATAAAATCTAAATAAGATGCACTTAAGTACACTGATATGGCAAAATGTGAAAAGATTAATGTGATGGGAATACTTTAGTTTACTACTGTGTTCATATTCTTCCTTGCGCCACTGGTGGCAAAAATACTAAATTTGACTGATTGTTTATCAAAATGTAACACAAATTCTTGTCTGGTAGGAAAAAAGGTCCCAACTGAAATGTAAAACAGCAGAAGATCCGCCTGAACGAGAAAGTTTGGCCCTTCCATAGTTTAAAAATAAGTCAGAGCACAATGCAGGGGAACTACATGCAAATTACCCTGCCAATGATAGAGAAATGTCACATGCTGTGTTGTCATATTTTTTTTCATGCAATCAAATCATTTTATCCAGGCTTTGGTTAACTGTTGAACACTTGTATTTTGAAATCTTTTGATAAGATGAAATATGATTATAGAATACAATTACTATAATATTAGTTCCAAGCTTTTAAGAAGTTCAAACTTTCAATGATACAGTTATGATTTCTGCACTATTTTGCTGGCACTTTCTAATGTTGAAAATGTTCTCACCTTTTTCTTTGAGGACTCATTTTTAATTGGAAAATAACACCTTTTAGATTTTTATAGTACACCTTCAATTGTTTTTATTACTTACTTTACTATTATTACTTCATAATTGTCCTCTTCTTAGTGGAATAAGCAGTAAAAACACTTTTTCAGGGCACAACAGACAGATAACTTATTTTGTGCCGCTCACGTGTCTGTGCCGCCCTGAGCAGTGAGCCACATTACGCATATAAAACATGAACACTGCTCTGTGAACCACGCCAACAGCAATCTGAGGCAGATTTTTTTTGACATCACAACTTCCTCTTTATATGTGTTTTAATACTTTTATGTTTCACATTTCCTAANGATGTAAAACAAAAGTGTAATAAATTAATCTGCTGTCTGTAAAACCAAGCTAAGCTGTATGCAGGATGTGTTTTTACAACAGAGTGTCAGGTTGCTCCGTTTCTGCTTTCTGCTTCCCTCCTGCTCAATTTTCATTTTGCAAATCAGTTATTCAAATGTGCTTCACTTCATCCATTTCAAACTGCTGGCACTTCCTTTATCTGCCTCCTGCACTCTGACTGGTGTCAATTTAATCTGTTGCCTCAGCTATCATTTTTCAATTTGACAGTCTTACATTGACAAAAATCTATATTCAGCAGAGCTTCATAAGTTTCCCCCACTGTTCCTTTGCACTACAATTTGATTAGTTTTTAATGTGAGATTTATTTGGAATAATTTATTTGGGGAAGTCATGCAACTGGAAGGAGAAGTAAAACAATGACAAACAACACCAAACATATAAATTAGCGCAAAAACAAGCAAATTTATAAAAATCTGCTGAACATGGAAAATAATTGTAATTTTAGAATATTTATAGCCTTTACTCAGACTGTAAACAACTGCACAGTGAGTCAAAACGATTTCAGCAAACTTTAAATAAGCCAAGCCTGCTGCGGCTGGTTTGGCCTTTCAATGATATTTCAAATGATTTCCAAGAAACTTATCAACAAAATCAACAGCAGTATCAGTTTATTCAACATGCCTGTTCTAAAATAAGAAATGCTGAAAATGTTGCAATCAGGCTTTCTTGTCATTTCATTTGGTTTGGAACAGGAATTAAAGTTTTATCAGCGACTGAAACACAGATTATAGTTGGGTTTTTTAGCTTAGTTATAATATTTTGTTTATACTTCTGTCCATTACTTTTCAACATTGACCTAAATTCTATCATATAATGTATATTCACATCACCTACATTTATTTAAATTTCAGCAGCTGCAATTTCTCCTTCCTCAGTCCCTGTTTTGCTATTTCAGTTGCTGAGTCTGTTCTCAATTTTATTCCAACAAACCTTGAGAGATTTCTTGCAGCAAACATGATTGTGTGGTTTTTATTATTTTTGAACCAGTTGACGTAATAATAATAAAAAAGGAAATATATTTTGGAGAACCTAAATTAAAATTAAATGAATTAAAATAGAACCTGGTTTGCATGGCACTCATGCGTCTTTGTAAAGGAGAAGTCAGGCCTTGAAATGTCACTACATCTTTTTGTATCACAATGTTGACACATGATAGGCTTCCCTAGCTGCCAGTTCCCACTTCTGAATAAATGGTTGAATTTCAACCATTGTATATTGCAAAATCAACACCAAACAGTAAAACATGGAGGTGACAGAATCATCTTCTGGGGTTAAATATTTGTCAAGGTGGATGAAGTTAATTACAAGTCAGTTTTGACCCAAAATCTTCAGTATCTGCTTAGAAGTTTAAAATAAAGTTTTGCTTTTAAAAACACACCCACTCTTCTATACACATCCACACCAAACACAAATGGTTTACTAATCGCTACAACATATGCATTATTTATTGTGCTTAATTGTGTGTGTGTGTGTTTTTTTTGCCTCAACTTAATTTATCCTATTAAAAAACAGTTAATTGACTTTGAAAACCAGTCGGTCACCTTTTGCACCTTTTTTTTAACTTGTTTATTTTTTACTTCAAACTAGCATGTTTTAATCTTAGTGAACCTGTACAGGGTTTATGTGTCATTGAAAGTGAAAAATGGTTCTGTCTTATTTTTATGCTGCACAAAAGAAGAAAGACATTTTCCCAGGAGTTTGTAGATCTTGGTACATTTATGAAAGAGGATTAGGGCAACAAGAAAAATGCTACTTTTATCTCAGACTTTTTTGACCATAGTCACAATTCTGAGAAAAATTTCTGAATTCAGTCTCAGAATTCTGACTTTTGTCAGGAATAGTTAGAATTCCAAGAAGAAAAAACTGAAAGAATCAGACTTCTGAGAGAAAAAAAATTCTCAAAAAACAAAAAAATAAATAAATTAAGGTAATAAGGTACTCTGACTTTAGTCCAAAAAAAGTTAGAATTCCGAGGAAAAAAAGTTACAATTATTTTATTTGCAGTGGCCGCAATCTTCTTCCGTACATATTTCATGGCTGAACATTAGATTGTCCTGTCACGTTCAACAGTTGCTCACATAAAGGTTGCCGTTGGCAACGGTCGCTCCTCCGGGTCACCTGACACACCCGGGCGCGTTCCCGCCATCCCTCTTTGGACCAATCAGCGCCCGGACGGTTCAGTCTACCGTCGGGAGTGCGCGCGCGTGTGCTAGCTCCATGTTTGTACTGCAGCCCTCCTCACACACAGTCGCTCACAGGCTGCTGTTAGGTCGGAAAGTGTTGAGCCTCATAGTTCGGGTCCTCCCGCTCCAAAACAAAGAAAAGCGCCCTCCGTGCTGCCCGACTTTAACCGGAGCTCGTGTGACATTTGACCGACACTCTGGCTTTTTATTTCCCATAATTTTTGCTTGAGTAAGAGGCTTGTGAAGGGGCTGACAGGCGGCTTCTTTCCCCTTTTCCCTCTTCTTCTTTGGAGGCATGTGATACATCCTACATCCAGGAGACTGAGGCGTGTTTCACGGATGTTACCGGGAGAACAGGAGGAGGAAGGAGGCTTTTCTTTCATTGTGGATGCGCCTCACTGGAGGAGAGCTGGCTTTTCTCGGGGCACTAGCTAGCTGTTGCATGGCAGACACGTTAAAAACAGGATGGACATTGAGTCTGGAGCTGAAAAGCTTGATTTTAATCTTGTGACGTGAATTATTTTTAATCCCGCACTGACAGTTGCTTTTGGGCTTTTGTTTTTCTTTTTTGTGAGGTGGCGGCGGCTAAACGCTGGTCAAACACCACCGGGACGGAGCAGCTCAGGCGCGGCCAGGCGAGCCAACAATGCGGATTACCTCCTGACTGTTCGCCTTTGTGTGCTCACATTGCAGAAAGTTTCAGATAAAAAAACTCGCGGGACGAACAGCCAGTACTTCCTCTGCTGCTCCCTTCATTGTCTTGGAAAGTAGACGCCGTGTCACACCGTGGGGGTCTGTAATCCTCACACGTGCACGGGATCTCTGTGAAGCTGCGTGGAGGCTAGAAAAGACCCAACAGGGACAGCAGCCATGGCGAACGACTCGGTCCAAGTAAGTTCACACCAACAGGGTTAAGTGTCCTGCGACCTCCATGCATGGGCATCCGGCTGAAGCTAGCATCTGATTCGCAGCTTTTTGATTTTAAGAAAAATGAAACGATCAATTAATTGGCTTCATCTTCAATTGAATGGTTTAAATTGCAAAAATAAATTGAAACCACATCTTTTCTATTGTGTTCTGACTTATTAGCTTAGGTGCATTGCAGTATCAATGGTATATTTTTGTTGTTGTGGAAATTGCGTCTAAATATTGAACATTTACCAGAAATATCCCTAGAAATGTAAATTTCAAGTTGGAGTTTAAGAGCTTTCTCCCCACTCCTGATCTCAAAATCCAATATGGCCACCTGACTAATAAAACTTAATTCTACTGACCAGTACTCTTGGTCTCCCCCAGAGTATTATAAGCCATCAGGCTTTACTTACATCACCACCACCCTAAGAAATGTTTATTTATTATAGATTTTTTTTAAATATACACCGTTGAGTGCTAATAAAGACATGTTAAACAGTCTCTGGTGACTTGGTTGGAAGCAGATTTTCAAATTTCCTGTCAACCTCAAACATTTTTTAACACAAAAACACAGCACCCCTACCACCGGGCTTAGCATGTTTTCTGGAGGAAACCCCGAGTACTGCATGGGTCGGTTCAGTCCAGTACAACTATTTTATGGTTCATATTCAGGAGAGCATTTCCATGTCTAGTCATACTAGTGCGACTACAAACTAATTCCACCGAATCACATTTAATGCTTGCATTTACCTTACTCAAATTCTGGCATTATTTAGTTGCAACACTAAAAGCAGCCTGAGAATTGTAGGTGGTACTTGTTCAACAGTTCAAGAACACGTGTGATTAATTGAATTGATTTAATTAAATTTTTGGTTTTTAAAGATTTCATTTTTGGAAAATCTCTCTATATATTTCCTCCACCAGTGCACTCCTTTGGTTTCCATAGTTCGAGTGATGTCAACACACCCAATGCCTATATTTGACAGGCATGTTTTACAGCTTCTATTTATTTGGACTTTGAATTTAGGTCAACTGTACAATGAAGTGTTAGGGCTGGGCTATATATATATATATATATATAAGAATAAAGTTATAGTATTACTAGAATAAAGTCATAATTTTACCATTGAGTTATGAGAACACCAACACAAAAAATAATTAACATGCGAGATGTTCATCTTATGAAGAATAATTTAAATACTTGGCATCAAATTTGCAGAACTTTAAAACGATTGTGCAAATGACTGAATCTCTTGAAGAAAGATCAACAGAAACTGAACTGGTTACTTAAAATTCTGGTGTCTATTAAAGCTTTTTTTCCCTCATTAAATAACTTTTTTTTTCAGGTAAAAATGTATCTTTTTCTGCTAATATCATGACTGTTCTCCTAAATAAACAAACATTCTTGCAACCTGTCCCAAGTACTCTGTTGTTCACCTCAGAGAAGGGATGTTTGATTTCTGCAATTTCCTTTTTGGAAAAGAAACTGAGCAAAAAAAAATCTAATAAAATCTATTATAAAAACAATTGATATTTATTTTTTTAGCCACATCTCCCATTTCCAGCCCACTCAGATTGTGCAGTGGGGCTGAACAGAGTCACCTTGGTGTTGTCCCGTGTTGCTCATGCTGTAATGCGGCCGTCCCGTTCACTTTGTGCTCTTAAGGTTTTATGTGTACTGATGCAGAGGTTAAAGGCGGGCACAATACTGGTATTTGGGGTGAAACCACTCAGGTTTCAGCCTCGGTTCACTTTGAGTCCATCTTCAAAGAAATAAAGACAACCATGCTTCTCCAAAAACAGCTCAGCAACATTTGGATATCTGGATCTCCATATCTAGAGGCATGTTTAGCTGAGCTATCATGCAGGTGTTGCAGGTTGTCGGCTTACTCTGCAGTCGTGTGTTTCTGTGTGTAGTTCGGGAACATCAATGCTGCTTAGCTGAATGAAGCAGGAGGCAAGTTGGCCTTTGTGTTTTCTATTATTAGAAGCAGCCCATTGTGGAAAGGGGAAACGTGCGAAAAATGCAGAAGAGGGAACAAAGTGATGTCGGCTGCAGCACTGAGTCACTCTGCTGGTGCGCTGGGTGGATCGGCGCATGGTGTGTGTGTGAGTGTGCAGAGTTATTGCGTCACCAAGTGTTGACCAAACAACAGTTGTTTGCTCACTTTAGTTGGTTCGCATATACCTTATCTCTCCTGCGTTACAGTGGATCCTGTCTCGTCTCTGATGTCTTAACTGCACTCTGTTGAATCCCTTCCATTCAGAAAGATTTCATTTAGTTTTCAGCTACAAACTCAAACATATGTCAGTGATAAAACAACTCTTCTTGTTTATTGGCCTGCCTTTAGTGCGGTATGTTACATAGCCGCTTTGAAAAGCTTTTAAAGGCTCAGTTCCGGAGTTGATGCCTTGATGTAAAAGTGGAGTTGCGCCTGTTTGTTGTCAGAGCTCCTCATATGGAAAACAACTGAGGTGGAAAGTATTTGCCAAGCTGATACAGCCACTCTGTACTTACCTTCTCCTGTAGCTACAGCTTTATATCAAAGTCTCAACGTGTGTCTTACCATGCAATAAAGATACAACCTCACGTAACCAGACGCCTCTTTTTAGGGGTTGGCGATGTGGTTTGAAGTTTTATCACGGTCATTTTGTGTTACTACTTTGATAACGATATAAGTGACGATGAGAACAGTTTAATGCTGCTTTTTAAGGTAACTGTATGACAGACTATGTGCCACATAATGGCAAATTTTGGTGGACAGCAAATTTTCCTAATATTATTAGAATAAATATTGTCATATTGAGACAAATTTCAACTAATATAACAATAATAATGGTATATTAATTATGCCCACTCAAACATACATATTTTAAAAAATGACGTCTGAAGAATATTTATCACTGGAACTAGAAAAAGTTTTGTGTTAATGTACTTATACCCACTCAAAATAAAGAAAAAAAAACTTTAATTTATATTAAATGTTTGCAGTGTTTATCAAAATTCCAGCTTTTTAACTATATTGAACATGAGCTTCTCTAATGATTGTTTTCCAACTGAAAATTATTGGGCTCATTTTAATTTATCATGTGATTAAATGATTTATTGCTTACTGTGACAGGCCTATGTGTCGGCAATAATAGCTTCACAAACACAAATACTGTTATTTAAAAGCATTCATATTTGTAAGACGTTAATTTAGGACACCATTAACAAAACTAAGTGTGATTTATATCATAAAACTGTAAATCAAAAATGAATTTAATCATATTTTCAAATTTATTGAGCTTTATTGATGCTTTCATTGGATAAACGGTGAAAAAACAGTAAAACTGACAATCCTGACAATAGTTTTATTAAAACATTAATTGGAATTTATCATAACAATAACATTCTTACCATGATAAGGAATTTATCACAATAAATGATAAACGATACAATAAATAATCACCTCTACCTCTTTGGCTCCTATAATATTATTGCAATATGTTTAAAGGTTTGTTGTCATAATATGAACTGGGGCTCTGAAGGCTCCAGGGTGCTGGTGTTATTTTGCATTTGAGTGCCAACACCAGGCTGATGAGGAGCTGACATTTTCCTGTTGGACCGGTTCTGATCATACTGGCCAGCGGCGCTGTGACTGAGATCATTTTGGGTTTGCCTGTGTGGTTGTGTTTGACAGTTTTCTACCTTGTGAAAGCCTCAGGGTTTGTGTAATTACGTACGATTAGGGCATAAAAATGTAATTCAGATTTCTTTTATACCAGATTATACTTTCCTGCTTCTTTTTCTAAAAAAAATAATACAAATGATAGAAAACATTTTCAAAAACTGACCTTTATTTTAATCGTTCCTTCTGTGAGTTTTACAATGGAGAACTTAGTTAGTTATCAGAATATAGTCATTATATTAGCAGAAGAAAGTTGGAATTTTACCAGAACGCCTTAAAATTACCAATTTCACATAGGATCAGTCCGATTTGAAAATGCTTCTAATCTGTAAGGGGAGCAAATGGTTCTTCACAGCTCTGTAACTGGTGGGTAGCTTCTTGGAGCGTTTAAACATGAAGCAGGCAGAGAAAGATCATTTATTTGCCCCCCTCAACATTGAATAGCCCCCAATAGAGCCTAACTGCGTCACACTTCCTCAGAAAGGTCAAAGGGCAGACAGGAGTGGAATGGAGAAGATAGATTTCCCTTTTTTCCCTTCTTTTTTTTTTTTTTAAATCATGAAGTATGAAGTCGCCTCAGTGAAAGTTGTTGCTTTCAAGAGTTGAGAGATTTCGCGAAACGTACCACATTTTTGCCTCCTCAGACATACAAATATAACGAGGCGTTATACGCATGCAGAGTCGGATACTCCTGGGAGTCCATAGGAATATTTCCCATAAGCCTCACCATGACGTAAAAAGACAGTTATGCACACAAAGTGGGGTTTCTCACTGCTGCCTCAAGGCCATGTTGGCAGGCGATGCAAAGTAATGGATCAAAACACCTGTGAGGGAGAGCAGACAGCAAATACATTCCTCACTGTCAACTTGGTCTTCTCAGTGTAATAAAATGGTGTGCTCTAACGGGGGTCCATGCCATGTAGTGGCTAAATATTTCTATCAACCTCACCTTATCTGACTCACTGACTGTTTATTTTAACACATTTGACAAATGTGAAGTTTGTCAAAATGTGTTTATCTGTTCTTTGAATTTATTTGTTTAGTGAAGTTGTTTCTTCAGACATTATTGGTTTTTTTTTTAAGTTCGTTATACTGCTCTTGACAGGTGGTGGTTACCATAGTAACCGGTGACTGACAGCTCCTCCCCCTTTTTTCTGTTGCCGTCGGTAACTGTGGGGCAGGAGCTGCTGGACTGATTTTCTCTTTTGTTAGAATAAATACAGAGAACCTGAACGTGTCTGTTGTGAAGTCAACCTGCTGAACCTGAGACGAACATAGAAGGGTTGCACATAATCATTTTGGCTTATAAAACATACAGAGTAAATGAGGATCATTATCAGGTGTGTAACAGTACCTGAAAGTTACAAAATGAAACGCAACATTGACTTCACAAGAACAAGATGAGATATTAATATTAACCTTAAAGAAAATGTTAAAAAGCAAAGCTTAAAAAAAAGGCCTTTATTCTGCATTTTAATTGATTTTTACAACAAACTTGACATTCCTTTTGATCTCTTCAAATTGTAGGACATCGTTTCAACAAGTGCCGGAACGATTTAGAAAGTTTTTTTAAAGGTTTTATTAGCTCTAATGGCCTTTATTTTATAGTTAATTGACAGGAAAGTGGGTAATGAGAGAAGAGGGAAGACATGCAGCAAAGGTCGCCAAGGCCGGGAATCGAACCTGCGACAACTGCATCGAGGACTAAGGCCTCCTCCATATGTGGGCTGTGCTTAACCCCTGCACCACCACAGCACACCCAGGGCCGAAACGATTTATCATGATTGACGATTAATTGTGATTTATCGTTTGCTTAAATAATCAAGCAATTTAATAATTATTAACTGGAGTGTACAGACTAAAAAGGCAATTTGCTGAAATAACGTACTCAGAGCAGTAATTAAGCCAAAACTGTACAATTATATGCATTTAACATTAAAGATAAAAAAATCCCCCTCCTGTCTGCATGTCTTTTATAAAAACAAATCTGATTAATCATCAGAATAATCAATTAATGGGCTAAATAAAATTGCACATTCTGCAGAGTTTTTGTTTAAGCCTCTTATGCAAATTTCTATTCACATTGTTTGGGGAAAAAATAGTGGTTATTGTCATTTCATAATTGCACAGTAGTAACACAATGTTATTTTTCCTAATATAGTCAGGCATATATTTTTGAGGCAATGTCAAGGACGGCAAGATTGAAGAAGAAAAACAAACACGACCCAACTTTGCAACTGAATAAAACTTTCTTTAATCTCTTGTGAATCTTAGTGCAGATTTTATTTTATTTTATTTTTAAAGTTTCCCTCTGTTTTTTGGTCAGCTGCTTGACTTATTGTGGAGTAGCTTCAACCGGCTACTTGACAATATGTTTGTAAAAATATGAGTAATAGGGCATATTTTAGCCAGTTTGAATTGGAGATTTACCAAAATGAAGCATTAGCATCAACTTATAAATCAATGTTGATGCATGACTCTGAAGATGGATAACACCTTTAATCCAGGCATTCCTGCAGAAACTGATAGGGCGGTTTTGTTTGTCAGAGTCCCGGATGTTTCAGCAGATATTTATCAGTCGATCCCTCATTTTTTTTTTTTTTTTTTTTACACATTTTGCCTGGGTGACCTCTTGAAAAGCAGCACTGTTGTCAGATGTTTACAGCTCAGATGAGACGTATTGATTCGGGGGGCGATGGTGGGAGTGAAGGAGGCTGCTGTGCCGACGATGAGGCCCTACAGGCGCAGGAGCACAATAGTTTGTATTGTCTGATGGTAAAAGCCCAGATCACATTCAGTTCACTGTGAGTTCATTTTCCTCTTCCTGTCTGTGTCATGTTGGTGACCACACCCTCAAAAGCCAACCCAGCTCCCAGCGTTGTCACGGTTGTAAATCCCATTAGTCAGTCTGGATACTGGTGACAGGAAATCTTGTGTTGATTTCATGTTTTCGTCGTCGTTGGTCGGTCTCCTTAAGCTTTTCGTTGTTTTTATTTTGCAATTCACATCTGTCCCTCAGTTTAAAATTCTCCAACATTCCCATGACCTCATAGCCACATAACCCAGCATTCCAGTTTCAGATGCACCCCCCACTCCCTCTGCTTCCTTCGCCCCAGACATATACAGAACCCAAAAATATAACATGATATAACATCCTCCTGTATCACCACTGGATCAAGCAGACGAGGAGGATGGAGGAGAGCAAATGGGTCAGGGTGCATCACCCAACCAGACATTTTCCAAAAATGTCATCTGTTTGGGTTTTTTAATCCCAGAAGGGGATTTGGGTTTTACATGCTGAGGTTTTGTCTTTATAGCTGGACATGGTAGCTTTTTGCTGCTGGATGTTTTACTGTAAAAACACGTTACTCATAAAAAGTCCAAACTTTTCCAGATTCATCTATACAGAACACAAGAAAGACAGAAGGAAGGGTGGTAGGATAGAGAAGAATGGATGAAAGCAATGACTCAAAGAAGAGAGAATGGAAGTACACAAGGACAGAGATGGAAAAAAGGCAAAGGAATGACGCCAGGAGGAAAACCACTGAGCAATACCCTGGAGGAAAGGAAAGCAGGAGATGAGGAAAGATAAGAAAGGAATGTCAAAAATATGGTAAGAAAAGATGTGGAAAAAAGCAAGAAAATGGGGAAGGAAGGAAAGGACACAAGGATTGGGAGGAGAGTAGGACAAAAGGAAAGAAGCATGGACACAGTGTTCAAGAAGAGACAGCATGGAATAAAATCTGGAAGTACAAATATTACCTTATTTTTCAGACTATAATTTGCCCTTTTTGTCATAGTTTGGCTGATCTTGAGTCTTGTAGTCTAGGGTGACTTATGTTTTTTTTTTTTTCTGTGTTCACGGCACATTTTTTTTACGAATGCGTTAAAGATTAATTTATTCTAATGGACATGAACCAAAGATTAAGCATTACTGTGAACTGAAAGCTAGAAGGTCAGAGCTGAAGAAACAGTTCCACAGCTGGGTACACACGACCTGTGCTACCTTGTCAGATTTTCCTACAGTAGCACGTCTTTGTCCTGTGTCTGTCAGATTTGCAATTATACAACCGTACATCTTCGAAAAGCAGAAGTAGAGCCTCCTGCACAACCAAAGAGAATGCAGTAAGTGGTTTGATGATGGTATGAAATCAACAAAACATTCACCTTTTCCAGCAACCATTGTAAGTGCACAGAGCAGTAAAACCAGCTGACCAGTTGTGCTGGAGATGTACTTGGGTTTCAAGGTGACAGGCTGGTAAAAGGTTGCTAGGTAACAACCTAGCTAGGTGAGGGGTTGTGTCTGCTGACTTGTTCCACTCATTCCAGAAGTTTTTCAAACGTCTCATTTTCACCAAAAAAACATGAACTTAATACCAAAATATCGGTCAGTGGGGTTGTTTCTGTAAGCGTTTTGGACTGTTTTTAGAAGCAGTGAAGACTCGATTGGAAGTACAAAAACATGTAAGATGTACATTTTCCATAACCTTTTAACAATTTCTAAATAAATGCGACTTATACTGCAGTGCATATTTAGGATCTTTTTCCTCTTCATCTAGCAACTTACACTCTTGAGCGCTGTATATATGAAAAATACAGTATTCAATGTCAATTTTCTCAGATAGACACAAATTTCCAGGCCGTGTAGGAACCCTGTGTACATAAAAACACAGTAAGTCCTCTCCCTTGCTTTTCTTTTAGCCCTCATCCTCATTATGCCGGTGCTAAGCGACCCGGGGCAACATGCATTGATCCCATCCTTCATCGCCCAGTTCGGCTGTCCAGTTTTAACAGCCACTCGGTTACGTTGATGCTTTGTGAAGCTGCTGGGGAGCCACAGCTTTAAATGTCTTTAGAAAGTCTAATATTTGCCACAAAACCACCTAATATTATGGGTGGAAAGATTTCTTTTTTGAAGCATTTTTGAGTGAAAATTAACAGCATTAAGCTTTATCACGCCATCAAATTGGACTCAAAAATGGGATTTTACAGTTTTAGAGTCTTGATAACAGAAATGGTTGGGATACGGCATGTTTCCAGTTGGATTTCACGTCAAGTATTTGTTTTTGTGGTCTGACTGCAGCACCGAAGGAAGCGTTGAGTTTTGTGTCCACCTCCCACCATGCCAGCTTGTGTTCCCATTATTCTCCCCACATTGTAGCATTTCAGTCATGACTGTT